CCCCCCCCCCCATGTCCTCTGCCAACCTGGCCTGCTCTGCCTCAGCTCTAATTGCTGCTGTCATGGGTGCATATGTGGATGCTGTGCCTGGGAGTAGTTTACTTTGGCTCAAACTGCTGTGGAGTTTATTGCTTCATGTTAATTGCACGTGTAGATGCACCCAGTGGATATGTTTACACGTCGCCCAATAGCGACACAGCAATGTTCGACGTTGCTGTATAGCACACTATGGCAATGTAGCAATCACATGCGTCTACCCCCGATTGCCAGCTACATCACGGCAGTTGTGCACTCCCTAGTTCTAGTGTGCTGCTATGGTGACATAACCAGTGAATCTAAGCACGTGCCACCCATATACTGCAGTATGGGCAGTTACTGCACCGCATTTTAGTACTTCCACAAAGCAAGTACTAAAACACAGCACAGTAACAATGTCACTATACAGCAACACATAGACATGCCCAGTACGTATGAATTCCAAAGGTGCAACTACAGAGTGTAAACATACCCCAAATAACTTTAAGCTGACTATCTGGGATGTTTATTACTCTTTAGATGTAACAGCATGGGAGTTAGCTCTTGGTTATCTCTGTGTTCTAACAGTTACACTAGGGGTAGGCAAAATATGGCCTGAGGGCTCAATCCAGCCCACCGAATAATTTTACCCTGCCCATGGCTATTTCTTTGAAGGAAAACTGTATCTAGTCCACAGCTGCCATGGCTTTCAGTGCCTCTCATGCTTTCCCATGCCAGTCAGCTGCAGCATCAGCAGCCACTCACCTCCCCTCCCTGGCTAGCCTTCCCTGTCCTGCCCCCTAGCCACCAATGTAAGTTCGAAGGCAGGGGGTGCTGAGCTCTTAGCCAGGCTTCTGCTCTGCAAAGCTGTTTGCACACCGCTCTGACCCTCTTCCTGGTGAGTCAAAGCTGAGGCAGGTTCTCCCTGCTGATGGGGCAGGGGCTGCAGGAGGAAGAGGGCCAGGAGCCACGGGTTATCTAGACTTTGCCATATCAGGGTCTGGTAGGGGCATAGGCACAAGTGCTGCAGCGTGTTCATGCACACTCTTTTGGGCTGCACCAAGTAGGTGCAGCTGGAGCAGCTGGTGAGGCCCCTACCCAACCCTGAATCCCTGGCACATGGCTGGGTTGAGCAGGTGCCATGCCAGCTGCACTCACAGGTCCTAAAGTGGCATGTGGGAACACACACAGCGTGGCACCAGCCTGGCCACATGCTGGGGACTTGGGGCAGAGGACGTGGTACAGGGAAAAGTGGGGAACACAACGCACCACCAGCCTGGCCAGGTCCAGACAACCTGCAGCTCCCAGCTCCCTTCTCTCTGTGTCCCCTCCCCCATCCTGAGTCCCTGGCACAGGGCCAGGCCAATGCTACACTGTGTTCCTGCATGCTGCTTCAGGTCGCATGGGTGCAGCTGGCATGGCTCTTGCCTCACCTGGCTGCATGCCAGGGACTTGCGACAGGGAAGGGTACAGGAAGAAGGGGCCAGGATCCATGGGTCATGTGGACCTGGCCAAGTCCGTGTTGCAGTTTCCCCCCTTCTCCCTGCACCTCCTTCCCCAGCCTGAGTCCCCAGCATGTGATCAGATTGGGCAGGAGCTGGGCCAGCTGTGCCACGTGGCCTGAGTCAGCATGTGGGAATGCAGTGTGGCACTGGTCTGGCTCTGTGCCAGGGACTTGGGATGGGGTTGCAGGGAAAAGGAGATAACAAAGGTTACATTTCCCTAACCCTGCTCTCTCTGCCCAGGCATGGGCAATTATTTGGGCTGGAGGGCCACTTAGAGTGTTTTGGTGAGCTGTTGGGGTTGGGGGGCAGGGAGGTGCTGACCCAGTCTGCAACACCTTGCCCAAACTCCCTAAGTGGTCCTCCAACCCAAATAATTGTCCACCCCTGAGTTACACTGATATCAGTACCCAAGCCAGTTAGTTTAAATCTAGCTTGGGCTAATATATACGGGCTGTAGCCATACCTACAGAAATATCCACAAAAGCAGTCTTTCTGTATGCAAGAGATAGTCTGTTGTTTTTTTTCATTTTTAATGATCAGAGTATTGGTTTAC